AGTGTTTGCCAAGAAAAAAACGAAAGTGGCAGCTGTTAGAATCCTGTTTTATTGAGATAAAACATGAAAGAAATAGACAAATATTGATGATGGGTCAAAACAAAAAAACAGTCCATCTTGAAAGGGGAAGTCAACGGTTGATCCATTTTCTGAATCTGAGCCATGATTGATCATTGCCTGAGTTCTCAGCAACTGTGATGTCATTTTCAGTCACAACAAGTTGCAAAATGGCCGCCACCTGAGATGGACAAACACGGATGGGTTTTACTGATGAATTCATTTTCCACAAACGCAATATTAATCTCAAAGCCTGGTTCACACTTCATAGAACTTAGTATTGTAAAGAAAATGTTTGGGTTGACTTCCCCCATTAAGTCGCTTGAAAGCAGATGGGAGGGAACTCTCGCTGAACTGGAAGCTCAATCATCTCACACACACACACACACACACACACACACACACACACACACACACACACACGGGTATAAATAGTGTGTCCGATGGCTTCCGTGTTGCGCCTCCCTCCCACCTGCTCCCCTCTTCACTCATTGGCTGTTTGATGATGACAAATGACATGATGATACAGCAACATTACTGCAAATTCAATATACACTTCAGCTTTAACCCCAAATGGCACTTAACACACCCTTCAAATGAATCCAAACAATTTAAGGGGGGTGGGGGGGGTTGCTGTCTATGCAGGTCCTTCTCCTGTACTCATGGAGATAACAAGGTATTTTGAAAGGCTCATCTTGAAAGGAATGTTTGGAATGTGTTGGCTGTTTGCAACGCATGCCGCGCAAGTGACACAGGGCTATGGTGCTCCCTCACCAAACCACTGCAGTTCACGTTAAGGGACCCCGGCGCTCCCATGACCTGTCCAGTGTCCTCCCCATCAGCACTTATTGAAGCTCAGAGCAATGGGCATTTGTCGCTGCTGCATACCAGCGGGGATTAAAGGGATTGAATTCAGTCGCTGAGTATGGTGCTTTTTAATGCCCCCTCTCACCATGGCCGTGGAAAGAGTGCAGCCTTTGTAACCAGCTAGCCCACCCAGCCGCTCACCGCTGCCATGTCACAACCCCATCTGATCTCCTTCAAGGCCCAGTTATTAGTATGGTTACTGTAAAGTTAGTGTTGGTGAATGAATTATTGTGTACTAATGTTGCGCTGTCTCGGCCTGATAACTGTGGTTGTCAGACATCTCGACGTGGCCTAAAAAAGCTCAGCCAGATGCTACATTTAAGTGTTGAGCTCAGATGTTTTGTCCATCAGTCTCCTTGTTCTGCGAGGGAGGTAGCAGTATTAATATCTTGTCATTGTGGGGCTTTATGTAATGATCTTCTAGTGCTAACTTGTTGGCTTTCCGGACCAATGCTTCACAATGTCGGGAACAGGTAATCGGCCCCCGATCTGATTACAAGATGGATCAATACGTCTCTTTAGATATGCGAAACTCATTTATTTATTTATTTTGTTTGAAATTGTCACAATCTTGAAGCCAACCAAGGCACAGCACTCAGAACCTGAATGTGTCTCTAAGAGCAGGATATTTGCTCTAAAAGCATATGCTCATTTGTGCACAGGAAAACGTTTTTTAATTGTGTTCTGTGGGAGAGTTGTCAAATGGCTTCCCGGTGAAGGTTGTTGTGGCTGCTGAAGCTAAGAGGCCAAGAGCTCCGTAGACCACCCCTCCCTCAGCCGCTGGCTCTTGACACTTTACAGTTTGAAAGTTTCATTTATGGTGGCGTGCATTCCTTAACGAAGCAGTGGTCGGGCCAAATAGTCATATGTTGTGCTGAGTCGTTTCTGATCAAAATCCTAAGAACACATTTTGTCATCACCAAAAACCCGCAATCCTGGAGGCAAACCATAAGATCTCAAGGATGGAGTTGTTCAACTACTTTAGAATGCATGGGAGGGATGGGGAATCACTCACAGTGTATGCATATTTTATTTTCTAAAATAACAAATAGAAACACAAATATATTGCAATGTAATTATACAAATGGGGATGGGCAAGTGCCAATAAGCGATATCAGTATTAGGCAAATGCCGGCCCTAATTCAATGTATCGAGGACTCACGATAGTGGCCGATACATTCACTGATACTAAGTTGGCCTCTTGTGGCAGTTTTTATTCTATTATTTTATTAAATGACATGCATGGCTGACAGTACTTTTTTGAACTTTGAAGTGAACTGTATCCATGTCGGTCCTTTCTAATTTTCAATGAGGTTCGTATTGATGCATGGAATGCATTATTTGTGTGTTGCTACCAACATGTATGCCTATTTGCTAACTCAATTTCTAAATGGCTGATGTAGCATTTTTCTCCTTTTTTCTTTTTTCCCATTTTTTTTCTCCTGATAATTTGACAACAAATAAAGCGGCACTTTTTGAATTTAATTCTAATTCATCCAGCTCACCCATTTGGTATTAGTAAAAGATGAAGAGACTCAGTGAAGCTGTCATTTATTAACATAATGGAAACAAGGATCCTTCTAAATACTATTCTGTTTTAAAAGTAGCTAGTAGTCATACAGTAAGGTGGGGCGGGGGGGGCGGGTAGTAAAGACATTTCTATGGAAATCTGCTTCGATTCCAGATGCAGAGATTATCAATACTGGATTTTAGCCCTCTGGATTACAATTGAATCGTGTTGTGGCAAGAGATTCCCATCCCTAGTTTTCATATAATACTCAAAATATTGCCTATATTTTAGGCTGGTTTTCATTAGGACGTTTTTTCTGTTTTTTGTTTATGTTTTTACACTGCTCTCATTTTTAAATTGGTGTGATCTAATCAGGAAAGATGAATGTATTTTTAGAGGTGTAACACCCTCCCACCCCACACAAAAAATAGGCTAGCTACTGCATGAAAAAGAGATAGAGACCAGTGAAAGAGCAGCAAACATGTTCAGAATTAGGCCAAGACGTGATAGCAGGTGATTCCTAATGTCAACAACACTTAAATTTGAGTCTATTTGGCTTTGAAAGGTATAAATATAGCGTTCATATGATCTTCAACAATTAGCACACCAAAATGTTCAGGTTACTGTTTTTATATAGCTCACTAGCTCACATCTTTTTAAGCTGCCTACTGTCAGTTAAGAAGTGGCTTTAGTGTTTAATTGTTCCCCTACTCAAAGTTGCAGCTAACTAGGTCGCAGTTCACCTAATTAAATCTCATATTTGGAGGAATGAATGGCGACTGTTGGTCAATTTGACTCCAGGGCTTTGAGCCATTGCACCTTTTTATTTTGGGGACTGTGCATGACTATTCTGATTGATGCAGAACAAAGACTGACCTGTTTTTCTCAGAAAAATATGAAACGAAGCTCTCAAAAGCAGTTTAGTCACTCGGTCTGACTTGTTCAGAAGCAAGCCTCACGATGCTGCAGCTGACCTTCCCAGTTTGCAAAATCCATGCTCGCACCATCAGCCATTTTATTAATCGCACTTTAAGATGAACAGGCACGACACAGCTTTCTCCATCATGGTGTGGCTTCTCCACTTGGACATTTCTCATTGACATGAGGCAAACAGGATTTTCTCATTCAACGACGGTATACCTGTTCGTGGGGGGATCTCCTATCGTATGTCCTTGCTCAATCAGCTCTGACATTATCTGCTTTGCATGACTCTGAGCTGCTACTTCTGGCCTAAGGATTGATTTCCTTGCCTTATGTCTGCCCTGCTGCTGCCACTGCTTGACCACCTTGCTGCTGGGGGTGGCAGACCTGCCATTTCTGAAAATGTTAATTGTGTACTCCGGGAGAGAAGATAAATTGTTCAAATAAATAGAGATAAAATCAGTGAAGTGTGATAGTATTGTTCAAATCTCAAATCATAATGAAATGTTAGCCCTCGTACAAAATAGTGCAAAGAAAAGATATTGGCATTTTGAAAACGGTACAAGTGGTATTCAATTTAGTTTTTTTCTGTGTCCATGGTTTAATTAGCCTTTACCGATTCTGTTTTCAATTTTAAATCAAGTCTATTGAGTTAGATTAATCAGATCTCAAACGTCAAAATTAACAATGAGCACGCAAATAACAAATAAGATTGCTGATGGATTGGCTTGGATAATTAATGCACAGAACCTATATTAAATTATCTTGTTACCTACAGCACGTTTGTCAAGCATGCACACACACTGTCTGACCCCCCCATTGGAATGAATAACGGCCCCACCAAGGACAGTTTATTTTCTTTTAAACCAGTTTGTCCAACTTCAAACCGTTTGTCCAAAGTAAAAAAAAAAAAAAAGTCGAACGCTGAATCCACAGCACACATTTTTTCCTGTTAGTTATTTTAAAGGCCATTGCTGCAGTGATTTCTTTTTGCTTTTCATGAGCTTTAACAATGCAATTGCGGGATCCTCAGTGAACTTCGTTGTGATGAGGTCATGTTGTTTTATTTTTTCTTTTAATTGGCACATAGCCTGCATTAATGTAATGTGAATTAGCGAATGTGCTCATATATCTGACAGCTTGAATGAAATATTCCTGTCATAATTGTTGGTTGCTCATTAAACGTAAACAGTGGTAAGATACTTTGTTCTGTATACATTCTAATGGTTTGTCTGGATTCAGCATTTGAAAACATTGGTGGAAATGCCTTCATCTATTATACACCTACAATACAATTACATTCTTACGTATTTGTTTACCAGTATCATGTTGTTAAGCAAGCAAAATGCAAAATTTTCACACTAATTTTTTAAATACAAATACAAACAGAAAAATGTAGTTTCATGGTAGTTGAAATATTCTACCTTATGCGTGGCTACATGGATATGTTCAGGGGATTGCATCACAATTTAAAAGTGGCATTTTCCTTTCATAAACTTTAAAATATGCATGAAATCATGAAATAGCATCCATTGATGTCCCCAATTTGCTGGCTTTTAGCCAAGCAAGAAACGTGAAAAGCAATTTATTTTTGTGAAAATGAGAGTCACTAGATTTGCACTTTTGTTGTCTTTATTCTTAACAGGTGCAATCCTGGGACGCTCCGAGACGCAGGAGTGCAGCTACTACAACTCCAGCTGGGAAAAGGAACGTACCAACCGCAGCGGCATTGAACCGTGCTATGGTGATAAGGACAAAAGGCGGCACTGCTTTGCCACGTGGAAGAATATTTCTGGCACCGTGGAGGTAGTCAAGCAGGGCTGCTGGTTGGACGACATCAACTGCTATGACAGGTACGCTTCGGGGAATTAAAAGAAGGCAGCTGTACTAAAATCAATTTTAGATCAGTTTTCTCAGACTTGGATTCATGAAAACAATAACTATACAGTAGTTCTCTCTATTATCACCCCCACACCCCCCAAAAAAAGTTTTAAATGACGCAAAGTGCTATGACGTTGTCGTCTAGAAATGGGTTCAGCCTGGAGAGTAAAATGATGTTCATCACGCTGATATCCAATAGATTGTTCTTTAGTCCAACATCACTCACTGTTTCCTGAATTTGCGGTCAATATAGATTTGGAACCCTGGCTGAGACGGCGCCGCCTTGCCTCCCTCGAGAGTTCACAGCAAGTCTAGGGCGGCTGCCACTTCCTCTGTCTTATCTGATGGCTATGAGAGTGTGAAAGACAGAGTGGGAATACTGGAACTCGTTCAAATGTATTTTCGGAGTGTTCTGTATTGTTTCGAAGCAAGGAAATGGCAAGTGTGTTTGCATGTCTAAGGGCGTACTCATTCTAGGGAATCCGTGCCATGCTGCAGCCTACGTGACACATTGTACGTCTCTTCCGCGTGGGTATTTGAGTGTTTTTTTTTTTAAATGCCTAATTTCGTGCACAATTGATGTTGCGATCTTGAGCATTTTTTTTTACCCCTCTTTCTTGTGCCCGACTCAATGACATCACTTAAAAACACTCATCCCCCTAATCTGTGATTATGACACATTCAACTTGATTATTGCAGTTTTTACTTTTCAGTTTTAACACACATACACAAAAATTAATAACAGCAAAACACTGTGACCATGTGTTGTAACCTGACAAAAATTATTTATTTTTTGCCTTGATCATCTCATAATGCTGGCCACATCTGCTAAAGTTGCCGACAGTCTCAGTGGAACAGATCATGCAGTTATTCACTTTCAATGAAATTAGTACGACTTAATATTTGGTTCAGTTCTTGTATTTTCTGGGGGGAAAATGCCCTATGCTATGATTGTATTCTAGGAAGGCGGTTATATGAACATGACCAGAATATCTCAGACACAAAATAAGGATTTTGTTAAACATACTACAAAATGAAAGGTGCATTTGAATATATACTGTAAGTATGAGTGTCTGACACATGCTTATATTATAAACAGTCCATTTCTGATGAGCATTACACACAGGCATGTAGTCATTGCAACAGTTGCACATGCTTGTATCAGTTGTGTTTGAACTATTAACACCTTTAATCCAACTCAAGTCATCTGCAAAAAGGTGAGATGCTGAGCATAGCAATTATGTTTGTAAAGTATTGTTGACACAGGGCAGTCGTAGCAGAGTTCAACTTTCACTGGAAACTAATATAACTAGTACAACTTCCAGAACCGTCCAGAATTGTTTGGCCACTCTGTATATTAGGAATTCACAATAATTATCGTGCCGATAATAGGAATTGTATCTCCCATGTGAACCCAGTAGATGGACATGGAGTAGTTATTTTAGAAACTAAAAGAACATCTAGCTGGTCTATGCTGTTGTACAATTTATTTCACGCACGTCTTCAGTCATAAGTCTGTACTCATTTGTATGCACACACCATTTGACATTCATTCACTGTATCTTTTTACTATGCACAGAACTATGGCTAGAGTTTATTTGATAAGTAAAGTATTTTCTTTAAAAAAAATAAACAGGCAATTCTATAAACAAATCTGTATTTTATTTTTTGTTACAATAAAGTTGTCATATTTGGTTAGGGGAGATCTTTAAGTATTTCTTTCTTTCAGGTGTGGACAAATTACACTTAACTTAAAATTTAGAAAAAGAAAACTTATCAGAATCAGACTTAACAGGAATTTATCAGTACCGGCCAAAAAAAAAAAAAAAAAAAGCAACAAAAAAATTGCATCCCCAGTTTACATGCTCTAATTTCTCATTTCCTCCCTGCAGCAATGAGTGCGTGGAGAGGAAGGAGAATCCTGATGTTTTCTTCTGCTGCTGTGAAGGCAACATGTGCAACGAGCGCTTCCTCTACGCACCCGATACAACGCCGCAAAGCGACACACACCAGTCAACAGCCTACAGTATGTACTGTCAACACTCTCACACATACAGGCGCCCGCACAGATGAGATGTCATGTCAATAATGGCCATTTACTTAGTTGAGAATCCTTCGTACTCATATTTACACACATTTCAATGCCCTTGCACAGTTGGTAAGTTATGAATTCTGTTTTATTTGCACCGAACAAACATTACCAAAGTTGCACCTTTATATACATGGTTGACTGTTGTGAAATATGTGTAATGGTCGGGACACCTGCTGTGTCCTCTGCTTTTGATTTCTAGAAAGTTGAGGAATTTGCAAAGTAACCATCAGGGTGTTTGGTCTTCATTTTATGCACAGTTGATAGATACAGTAGTACATCTTTTTGATCGGACATATACGCCAATCAAAATCAAAAAGATACTGTGAAATACATAAACACGTTCACCTTGAGAACATCTGTTTTTGCCAAACGGCCAGCCAGTACAATTTCAGGGTGGTCCCCACTTTGGCTGCCTGAACACAGTTCATCCAGTTTGTAGAGCATAATTTTCAGTCAGCTGACAAAGTGTCATCATCTGTGTTTACCTTTAAAAAAATTTTGTTTTTGTTGCACCATTCTTGTGTAAACCTACTGCAGATGTGTCTTGGTGAAATCGCCGTTTCCTGCCATATTCTGTTGCCCACACACACATTGCACTGCACTCATTCGTGCTTCGGTTTTCGTAACCACCACTCCGACATACCTGCTGATGATATTATGATAAATTTCCTGACACGTGGCTTTTTTCTAATCACTCTGTTTAAAGTGTACCCCCATTTCGCGTGAGATCAGTTCCAGAAACATTTGCAATAGGTGTAAAATCTGCCAGATCGTATAAAAACACAAACTTTTTTTTTTTTTACTTTCCTAAAATGAAGCAGTGTCCATGTTCGTACCGTCCTTAATGTTGCTTTGAAGAGCACATAAGCCTACTATGCTATTGTATTAAAAGCTGGTCGTTATGGTGATACTTAACATATATTTTTTGAGGCGGTACCTAGTGTAAAAAGTTTGAGAACCACTGCTACACTTGCATGTATATTTGAGTCCTCAAGAGTCCCCCCGCCATGTGGGTTGTGCACACCCTTTGTTTTCCCTTACATTGACGATGGAGATCAAAATGTCTTGACAATTACGAGAAAGGTCCGATGTGGTTGGCACCATGTGATGGAAGGATGAGCACGGCCAGCACGCACCACCCTGCTCCTGTACGGGTCACACACAGTTCGGAGCTCTGTTATTTTTGGCAAGAGGATTAAGTGATGTCACAAGATGGATTTGCTCGTCCTGCTGTGTGCATGTGTGTGCATGCATTTACACTTCCCTCCAAATGCTTTGGAACAGTGAGGCCAACTCTTTTATTCTTTCCGTAGATTGCTCATTTGAAACTGAGATGAAAAGATAAATACGCGAGACAAGAGATCCACATTCCGGGGTTTATTCCCAGGTATTTAGATTTGGATCTGATTCACAACTGAAATGATAGGTCTTTTTTTTTTTTTAAATATACCCATTTTAATGCTTGCAAAAGCATTGAAATGTATGTTTTGATTCCCAGATGTATGAATGTCTACACTCAGTTTCATGCTTTGGTCTAGTTGTTCCCAACGTTAAAACTAGGAATCTATCCAAGGGTTCCTAATAGCAATTGTGCGGCTGACAAAGTGAAAATCAATCAGAGCCTTGCACAGTGACCAATAAAACTATGGTAATGTCTTGAAGAAGAAAGAAACCACTAGTGTACTAACAGACTGTGAACAATTAGGTGAAAGATAACTGTGTCAGTTGGCGATTTTTCATTGTGAGAGCTTGTAGAGAGCTGTAAAGAAGGCCCAAAAACAAATGTTGGTGAGATCAGCAACAAACTCCAGAGGGCAGGAGCAAAGGTTTCACAATCTACTGTTTGCAGAAGACATTGTGAACTCAAGTACAGCGGCCACAGCAAAAGATCCCAGAGATGAGCTTCATGAATTTTTGAGACAAAGATGAACTTTTCACATAGTGATGGAAAATTCCAAACTTTGGTGACAGAAAGAAACAAAACATCTGTGACACTCAATGGACGTATTGCCAGGGCTTGCCTTTGCATGCTTCTACTGGGACGGGCTCACTAATCTTCATTGCTGTAGCTCATTTTGGGCAGTGGAGAGATGAACTCAGAAGTACAGAAACATTTTCTCTGCCTATGGAAAGAAAACTGGAACCAAACCGATTGTGATATGCTTTATTGTGGAGCAATGCTGCAAAACACAATTCCAAAACATCGAAGGAGTTCATCAGTGTAGGATTTTTTTATCTCCTGACGTGAACCCTATGGAGTATGCATTTTACCTGTTTCAACCCCCCCCCCCCCTTAAAAAAAATAACCCAAAGAGGCTATGGTCAAAGCCTAGAAAAGTATTAAAATGGACGGTAGCATCCATTTGGTGGTGTCGATAGGTTACTTTAGTTATGCAGCTACTGCAAGCAACGGATTTGCAACTAAATGTCAAAGGTTTTTCCTCATTCCATTATTTACTGTTATTTTCAGCGTTCCCTGAAATAAATAATGCTTTCTTATAAGATAGCTGACCTGTCGATCTCTTTTCTCGTATTTATCTTGACGATGTCAAACCAAAATGTTTTTGTCGACAGCTACAATAAAGCAATGACCCTAACTCTGTGGTTCTTAACCTGGTTTCCATCGAACCCGAGGGGTTCGGTAAATCGGTCGCAGGGGTTCGACGGAGCCTCTGCCATGGAGGTTAAGACACACCCGACTCAACATGTCAATTAGTTATGACCCGTCCGCTAGGCCATCATTGGCTGTGGATGATCACATTGCATTGCTTGTCCATTCAGTGCTGCGGGAAATTTAGTTTGCTCAGTCGTCAGCGTGTGACTGTCGTGATAGTATGCGGTGGGATTTTTAAAAAATGTATTTATTTATTTATTTATTTTTTAATGTTTTAACGCATGCTATGTCGAGCAAATAAAAAAAAAAAGAGAGAAAGTGGTCGGATGAATATGTACAACATGGATTCACATCCATCACCGAACGAAATGGGACTCGGCGTCCTATCTGCATGATTTGTCATGCCAAGTTGAGCAACTCTCGTCTCGCACCAGCAAAACTGAAGGAACACTTCTCGAATCATATTTTTATTTTTTACTAAGGGTTCGGTGGATCTGCATATGAACTGGTAGGGTTCGGTACCTTCAACAAGGTTAAGAACCACTGCCCTATATTCTAATACGTTAGAGCGTTCAATATTATTTCTTTTTATATATATATATATATATATATATTAAAAAATGGCTGGTCACCAAAATGTAAAATGTTTCATGCTGTCATTCCTTTCCTTGCAGCCACATCCAACCCTTTCTCCCAGAAGCCTCAGCTCTTCAGCACTCTGCTTTACTCCCTTGTCCCCATCATCGGACTGGCCGCTGTCGTCCTCTTCTCCTTCTGGATGTGGCGACACCACAAGTTTGCATATCCGGCAGCCCTCGTCCCTACGCATGTAAGGAAACAAAAAACATGCACACATACTGGGCTTCATTAGCCCCGTCCGCGCCATTTTCATCCCTCATCCTCACTTTGCTGTCAGTTAACCTACATGGTGGAGGTGTCCACTGAATTTGGAATGAAAAGTGGTTTTAGCGCATCTTGCTGGGCCAGCTCTTCAGTCTAAGTTCCTCAGCAGCAGGAGACAAGAAAAAACATGCAACTCCTTCATTGTATGGAAGAGTAGTCAGGGACCTCTGCATTATTGATGACGCTTTATATAGGCAAACAAAACTAAACACAGAAGCGCTCACAGCACTGCCTTGGAGAGTGGTGGTGGTGGGTGGATAGTGTGGGAGAGGGAGAGAAGAGAGACATGCAGTTCTCTCAGTTTACTGGCTGAATCTACACGGGCCTGTAGAATAGTAGACCGAAAATACTATCATGCCATGAAAAATAAATCACGACAAAGAAGCAGATAAGACATGTTATCTGGAATAAAGAATAGGTGAAATAAGACAGAACAAGATCTCAAGAAAAGAGCACATCACACATTGCCCCAACGATCACAGGGAAAAGCAACACCAATCAAGGTTATAGAAGTGATGCTGTATATTGTTTGTGCATGCAATTTACATCCATTACACTCAGGCTACGTTCGCACTGCAGGACATGATGTCCCATTCGGATTTTTTTTTTTTTTTTTTTTTTTTTTGTGTGTGTGTGTGTGTGTTAAAGCCAATCTTTTTATGTAATCGTTCATGTTATAAAAACATACGCCATTCAATGCGTCCCTGATGTGACACACATGCACAACATCGAGTGGACACACAAAAGAAACGCGACACGGAAGTGGTACGACAATTAGTATGGTCCAGCACAGGGGTGGGCAATTATTTTCCCGGGGGGGCCAAATGAGAAGCAGAAAATATTGTAGAGGACCGGGCCAAAAGTTAGAAATCTACTCCCGATTTCAATTTTATTTCTATGTTAAAATAAGTTAATGACATTGTTTACAGAAGCTGATAAGAGTATGTATTGTTGCTAGATAATGAAAGTGCAGTCATTTTACCGAAAAACGATTTCTTTAGTGAAATTATGCAAAACAATTCTAATTGTGCAACATTTGTAACTCTTTTTCAGTAACATGAACACTACAGCGCTTTCTGATTTTAACTTTCCCATGAAGATAGCACAATGTCTTTGTATGCCAGTAATAATGTAACATAACTCACATTTTTTGTCCCAACTGCCAAACTAATGTAGAAAAAATACAAGCAAGCATGTTTCAGTGTTTTTTTCTTGTTTTTTTCTTGTTCAGTAGAGATCAATCTAGCCCAAGGGTGGGCAAACTTTTTGGCTCGAGGGCCACATTGATTTCTAAATTTGACAGGTGGACCGGGTCAGCACAAGATACGGTACATATAAAAAACTGTACATGTTGACAGTCCATATCAAACATCACAAATGTCAAATTTATCCTTCATGTTTCAAGTGGGATTCAATTAAAGTGCACACTGTTACTCAAAACAATGCAGATTCACGGGCGATATTGTCACTCGTCTCCTTCCCAAGGACTCTCTCCTGGGCTTTCGATGATGTACTGATCAGATGTGTATCGATGTAGATGCATCGCATGCATGTCCGATTTATATCCACATATGAAAAAAAGCTCAGGTCAGATTTGGGGGGGGTGTTTGCTGTTCACGTTGCATGGAAAAAAAACGATGCCTGTCGCATATGGGCAAAAAGATCGAAATTGAGCTGGAGTATGCCTCAGAGATGAAAATTAGGTAACAGTAATTTCTGTAGAAGTCATCTTTCACGCTTTTCTAAGAACCTCACCTACTTACGGCACTCTTGGAAAGTAGCAACAGCAAATAGTCTACGTCTAGACTTGGTTATTCTGCTTCGAGGGCTTGTTTAGTAATTGATTCGACTTTTAGGAGGCAGCCAATGAGGGGGTTGGGACAAGCAGCATTTAAAACTACTTTATTGTAGTTGTCCTGCTACTGATAAGATAATTTTAAGGGGATCTGTATTGGATGAAAAGGGGTCAGATTGTATGTATGTACGTATGTATCTATGTATGCATGCATCTATCTATCTATCTATCTATCTATCTATCTATCTATCTATCTATCTATCTATCTATCTATCTATCTAAGATAGATAGATTCTATCTATCTATTTCCTCTTTTTTTGGTCATAAAATTAAAATAAATCTTTACATACAAATACATGGACAAAAATTGAGCATTAATTGCTTCGTTTTATACTTTGCAACGCTTTGGGTCCATGTGACGGTGTGAAAAAGACGACGGAGAAAACCACATTCACATGAATGAGTGCTGGGATTCCACAAAAAATGTTTCTTTGATGCTTAAGTTCTATTGAACGCGTCCAAGCATGAGCAGGCATTCTCACCCAGCAGCACCTTAAACTAAGATGCTTGCCTGATGACATAGTTTCTTGGTGATACACAATCGGAAACCTACATTACTAAACGCAGCAATGTGCGCTGTTCATTGTTTGAAGCTTTACTTTATTAATGTTGTGAAATCAATTCATTGACCATTTAAGATATTAATTTTGTTACTGCACTAAGTAAAATTTCCGATATTTTTTTTTTTTTTTTTTAGATTTGAATTTATTTGAGACAGGATATTTAATTGTTTTTCTCTTTGCATCATTCTTTTGCTTCACCGCTGATGTCCTGCAGTAAAAGACTTTTAGTCATGTAAACGGTATGATGTTGGGATACCTTAGTTCGAATAAATGAAAATTAAGACACTCGGGACAGTTTAGATTGGCTCCTTTTTCGGACTAAGCATCAACATTTCATGTTATTTTTTTGTGAAAAACCATTGGTGGAAACAATAAGCCCTGGGCACGATTAATAATACATTAAATTAAAAGTAGTTCCATACTTAACACAAAGTCCTGAAGGCGTTATTGATCCCTCCTTTTAATGCTCAACCATATCCCTTTAAGTTGCTCTTTAATGGTTGTCCAAAGACGTTTAACTAATTGAGGACCCTGTCTTGCAGTTCACCGTGTCAACACATTTAAAACAGTTTGGTAAAATGATGCATAATCCCTCTGTGAATAATTCATCAATGTCTTTATCATCACATTATGGAACAACTTTTGCTAACTCAGCAAAATAGGAGATATGATCAACTGCAGTCTTCAAAATAGTATGAAAGTGATCCACAAAGTTTTCGGTGCTTTTTATTTAACTGTTAAAGTAAAGTAATGGATAGCCGTGATGTTTCAGCTGCAAATCTTTGAAAAGGCATAGGTTGCTTTTAACTACATCTATCATTAAAAGCAGAAGGAAATTATGTCAATCTACTGGTTGATGTCAGTACATTAACGTGCAATAAAGAAAACTCAACTGTATCATTAAATTGATTGGAAGCCAGACATTACATAGAAACACCTTAATCGGACTGTGTATCACTAATTTTAAAAGGTACTGTATTAACACAGCCAAACTATTTGCCTTGAAACCAGATTCTGTTGTCATGTATAGACCTCCTTTAATGGGAAAAAAAATTCCTGCATTTGAAAATTCTTATGATTTGGTGTGGGTGTGTCTGTGTGTGTGTGTGTGTGCACACAATTTATTTATCCATTTATTTTATTTTTTTTACAAATCTCTACTATTGGTTAGTCCACACCCAGGTAAAAGCATATGTTTGCAAATGTCCTATACGGATTAAACGAGATCATCACTAATTGCATTTACACAGAGCCTTGTATTTCAATTACAATGAAACCAAATTAACAAATGGAATGAAATTACATTGGGGATTAAAGGGGTGTTATATTCCTGTTGCCAATCCTGCTGGATTATGAAATTAATAATTTAATTCGTTTCATTAAGTATAATAATTTGTAGAAGGAAAAAGTGCTTCAAGTAACATTTAGGTTTTCAACTGTAGTTTCTCCATTTGAACACTGGGTGGCAGTGAAGAAGAAATCTGACCTGACATCATATCATGGCTCTCGACTACATCGTAAATACGAGAATGAATAAATAAATATAAACTTGACTGTGAGATTACTGCAGCGATCAAACTTGAATGTCAGCACGTTCAGACAAGTCCAAACAGCAACCGACCATCCAAGGTTTCCACAATGCTGAGCTGCGCGCAATGAAGCAAGATGCTAATGCTAGTCCTTTGCCGGTGGTGACGTTCGTTCCCATAGAAGGCAAAGCCAATGCATGTGCGTTGAAAATAAGCGATATCTTGCTCGTTCGTCTCAAACGTTTTTCGTCAGTTTTTTTTTTTTTTTTTTTTGTCAACTCCAAAACTTGAGCTTTCGATACAGACCTTACATCCTTGATTTTTTTTTTCCATTTCCTTTTATGACGTCGATGAACAGAACGCAGCTACACTGTACAGATGTGTGCTATGGTCATTGTAGTCACTCTGTTCCCAAAGTGCATTGCGTGGCACAATACATTTAAATAATGAAGTTATAAGGATCTGAATCAGATTGTGTGATCATGACTTGAGGGGAAAAATGGAGCAAAACTGTTGCCAAAAAACCCCATCCAGGATGAAATGCATGCAGCAGACTAGCCGTTTCTTCATGGACCGCATACTTGCCATCAGGCCTCCATTTTTCACACCTGTGTGTGGCAAACTGGAATTGATTGTCTCAACCTTCAGAATTTACACTGAGAGGCTTGCAGCACTTAATCATGAATGTGCACCCTGTTTTCAACATGAGCTATTTTCAAGTGTGTATTCTTTTTCTTGGAACTACCTCGATTCTTGTATGGGTGCCAGTCACTAGGAATTTTGCATATTGTTGCTAAGTCTTTTTTTGGGGGGGTTGTTGAAAGATCGTGGTGCTTTCTTTCCTCTTTTTTTTTTTTGTTTGTGAGACAAACACTGCAAGCCTTCTTGAAACTAAGTGTGAGGGGTGTCCATCAGTATAATTCATTCCAGGTAACAGCTGAACATTGGACCAATTTGCTCAAAACAAAAATGCTCGAGATGCGAACAATGGAAAAGACAAAGCTGGGATTCTGAAATTCACTTTGCTTACTTGTGTCTTGACATAACCGCTGCTGCATGCTAGAAAGTTTCTTTTTTTTTTTCTTCTTAACATTCGGACTGTGTCATCTTGCATTGCTCTCATCCTATTCTTGCCTTTAGTTTTAACTATACCATCAACGTTCCAGACGTGACAAAGTTGGTGTGAGAGGCAGGAAGAAGTCCTTCCATCATCAGCTAACCGTCAATCTCTTTCCATCCTCTAACTGACATAAAATACCAATAATTTCTCTGTTTGCTTCTTATGTTCTTTTTCATAAAGCACCCCTTTCACATTATGGTGGAGGTAAGAGCAGTTCAATTGTAGTTAAAACACTGTTAATTTCTCCCTTCCTTTGGGTTCAGTATGGATTCTAGACTTCAGTCCCAGGCTGTCATTTTCTAATTCTCTTCACTTTTCCACAGCATCTTGTTCATTTAATACCCAGCACATTTCTGTCTGTATTTTTTTTTTCAAATATTTGTATTTTACTGCCTGGGTTTATTGCACGCGTGAATGTCTTTTTGTGTTTTCTGCTGAAAATATATTGTGCATGGTGGAAAGTAGGTGACTCCACAGCTCCAAATGGAGCCCCCCCCCCCAGTCCCCACCCCCTTTTCATGAGAATGTCTACATGTGATGTCTCTGTAACATTTTGTGCTTGAATCTGCTCCACCGATGGCCAGTTCGCTGCCCTTTCCCATGTTGACACGAAATTGCAGAGCAACCGAATATGCACCTCCCACCCCACCATTTTGTCACTGTCAAAAGGACCCCAAGCCTGAGCTGAATGTCAACTTCCGGAATGCCGTTCTGTCAACATTCAAAGCCAAATACACGACTCGCTAAAAGTTCGGGGCAAAACTTCAGGATGATTCTAAAATGCACAATATTGGTGAATTTTATTTGACCTTCTTTAAGCCTTTGAATGCACATGTCCAACTATTCAATGTTTTAGTATTATTTATTTATTATTTTGAGGGGGTACACTTTTCTGTTCTCGAACAAGGATCGAATTGGTAACGTAACAACAGGTGTTGGTTCTATGAAGGGACCAGTAAATGTCCTGGTTTGGTTACAATGTGTATTCTAAAAACCGTTTACTTCATCGTGCTTTTTGACATCATGAAACCAAGATGACACGTAACAATTGATCAACAGTACCTCATCGTTGCAAGGTTTGCACCAGGATGGTCTCAGAGATAAAGGGGTCAGTGAGCTCATCGTCTCATCAGCAGTTTGTGATGGAGATGCAGAAGAGACCGGAGAGGAGAATCAAACACCTGTTTGGAATTTTTCCTCCTTGTTAGAGGACAGCAGGTTGTGTAAAAAGCACCGAAACATTGAACAGTTGAGAAGGCTCTGGTGCATTGTGGGTTAATCCTAAAACGTCACCCGAAAATCGAATATCCCTCACCTTTTGTGAGTCGTGTTTCAATAGTTACCCGCACTTGCACTAAATGTGTATAAGTGACAATTAAAGGAAATATCAGGCTGACTCGATTAGTGCCTGTGAGATGGCTGATTGTTGAGAGGGACGGTGTGAAGTGGCGGATTGTTGGTGCCTGGCTTTCTGTTTTGTGCTGACTGAGCTTTACGCACCTCCACTGGATGCAATGGCGCTCTCTGAGTGGGCAGGGGATCCAGTGACTCATGACTGAGACCTAATCTGACCCTCTGCGGAGACGGTCTTTCTGTAGCCTGTTTTTAGACTGGACCAACTCAATAAAAGATGTGCCATCGGATTTTCTAACACGAAGCAGACCCAAATCATGATTGAATCTTGAAGGTTTAGGAGTCAGCTGTCTCTCACTGAACCTTTTCTTATTCCTGACAGACATCCTCAAGCACAATAGATATTCAGCTTTTATCAGCATGGTATGGTACAGGCAGACAGAACAAAATGGATAACATTGCACTATGGTTTTGCTAAACATGGATTCAGATTTTCAGGCCATGTTTACACACACACACACACACAAAGACGTGGTTAAAAGCGGCAGTTTTCTGTTTCTTTGTCTTCTGACGTTATTGAAACGACTCCCACTTATACTGAGCTGTAACCCTGAAAAGTTATTTGCATAACTTGCTGGACAGCTACTGAACTTTCCTCTCATTCTAAAGCCATTTTTTGCACCGCATATATTGCAGTTGAAATTTTCAGCTGCGGAGAAGCGCTATCTAGCTCATTTATCTTGAGCGGCACAACAATGTAACGTCTTGTGTTCGACAATGCGCCTGCAGTACTTTGAGACACAATTTTCAAACTGCATTTTGGCCCCTCAAAACAACATTGCCGTGTCAACAACGGCCTTAGTGACAGATTTCATTCATGTGTAATTTGAAAATGGGACCTTAGCTGCTCAATTTGTGAATTGGCCTGATTGTTGTTTCGTTTCTCATCAGAATTGCTGGAATATATCTTTTTCAAATGCTTTCCCATTAAACCAATGCCTTCCCCTTCAACAGCACCTGATGTTTTTTTTTGTTCTTCCTTCTTAGTTTTGTCAGACTTTATGTATGGAAGATATCCGCAGCCTTTTGTCTGGAGATGATATTTGTATGCTGAGCCTCACCCTTAACTGCCCATTCAAACAGCCTCGGATTGACAAGCTTGCACTTCCACTGCATGAACACAATGGTAGAGTGGATCCGGTTGGCCTCGGGTTTTGAAACTTGCCCTAGCTTATCGCATAAGCCCCTCTGTTCAAGTAAAAACAGGAACCTTGCCGCTGTGGCAGAAAGATTCCTTTGTTCATTTTTCTCATACCATCACTGCAGAGGTCTGGAAAGTTTCCAGCAATACATCTACTAACATCCAAGTCCATCAGTCATGAACCAGCCTCGATGGGCAACTTTTTTAGCTGTGCGAAATGTGACCCAAAAGCATGCCTTGTTGTAACCCTCCCCTTGCTCGATGTTTCTCCCTCTGTTTGCCAACAAACCCGAGCCCTGCCCTCTCCGTGATGTCACATGTGAAAGTGATCAGATTAATCCAGATCACTTGCTGTGTTTAACCTGTTTTTGATTTGGAACACTTGCTGTCTTTTGCTTTCACGGAAGTTTTTATGTGATGAACAGGCACACCTGCACATGGGTTTTCAATCTTATTTGTTTACCTCATTTCCAATCAGGAGTCAATGCACATTTTCCTCTTCGATTAGAGCAGAAGCAATCTACATTTGTCTTCAAAAGACAAAGCAAAAGTTCTATTTTAAAAAAACAAAAAAAACCAAACAAACCTCATACAGATTTAGCCCAGAATTTTTCAATACAAGGATTGCAAACAGTCTCGCTTGACTGGACAGGTGCTACTACTGCTGGTAAAGTAACATTTCCAAGTTCTTATGTATCGCACAAGTGCACTGTACAAATAATTTAGCCACTGTTAATATTAGAAGTAAAAACAAAACATCTTAACTAGATAAATGGAAGAAGTGCAATGACTCAACACAGCTCACGTTTGAACATTTTCACTTGTCACACAATTGTAAAAACATGTTCAAACATAAAACAACTAAATCTCCTGTGGTAACAATACTATTCAACTTTTGAGCTTAATCAGTATGCCTTCTTGGCCTCCAGTCTTGAGGCGAGTCCAAAGACCGGCAAACAGATGCAATGTTAATGCTTTGCTTGTCGAACCTGAGGCCTTGTTAGATACTGTCAGGCTTCTCACGAGACATCATGCATGAAGGTGGTTCCAATCTTACTATTTCTTCGACTTCCAAGTACCGTGTCTGTTGCTCATTATCACCTCTTGTGGAACCAAGTGTTACTACAGAGTGACCTGGTCGGAATGCAGAACATGATTGCAAGGCTAAAAGCAATGACAGGCCAACTCTATTTCAATCTAATTCAACACAATTTTAATGCTTTGCCCTCTCCCGCAGGATCCCGGCCCTTCGCCACCATCTCCTATCCTGGGACATAAACCACTGCAGCTGATTGAATTGAAGGCCAGGGGACGCTTTGGATGCGTATGGAAGGCCCAGCTTCTGAGCGAATATGTGGCCGTGAAGATCTTCCCGATTCAGGTGTTCATATCTTGATGGATTCGAGTGTCAGTGGGACATCACAAAATGTGAACAAGAGAGCAGAGACTTTGAATCAGAATGGATAAGGAGTCCACAAGTATTGTCCTGTCATTGATAAGATGGGGATATATTCCAAATTTAAAGGGTGAAAATGGGAGTCAGTATGACATTTCACCAGATTTATTTGTATGTCGAGCTTCAATTCTCCATGCATGAAGTGCACTTTATTTATTTTTTGTTGGGATTTTACAAAAATATGTTCCTCGTTTATACCAATTAATTTCCAAGGAAAGTTTTCAACTTTGAGAGCTCCCTGAATTTTGCAATCACTCCTATGTCATGTTCAATACCAAGTTCAGTGAAGTAATTTGATCACAGGAATAACAGCCTTATCTTGCATCTTGTAGGACAAGCTTTCGTGGCAGAACGAGTACGAGATTTACAGCGTGAGTGGCATGAAGCATGAAAATATCCTCCATTTCATCGGTGTGGAGAAGAGGAACAACAACCTGGACTTGGAGCTGTGGCTCATAACCACCTACCATGACAAGGTAGGCTGCCTGGAAAACTTTCTTTTCCATTTTCAAGTCAAAACATGTGAATAGAGTCAAGTCATGTGACTAGTGACCTATATGTTGCTGATGCACCTGTAAACTCATTCTCTTTATTTCCTGCCTGATTCCAGGTTGTTGTTTTTTTGGGCCATGTTATTGCATTGATGTAGTGAATGCAGTGGATTGTCCTGCTTTCTTAAGACTGGATTGTCATGCTTACGCACACCTGCACCACATCAAGAAAAGTTGTCAATTCTGGAAACCATCACATTTCACTGATTGGTGCATTAGTTCATCATCCCTAATCATACTGTCTTTTATTTATGTAGGGAAGTGCGCTTTATCAGCACACTAAGCTCCCCCAAGAGTTTGCATCATTTCACCAATGCCACCTTCTTGATCTGAAAAATTATAGGCGCACAGTGTAGTGCACTCATCTTTCTACTTGGAGTAGAAATCGCTTGGAAAACATTTGTGTTGAAGGACTTTTTGGCAAGGTTGCACTAGACCAGGGGTGGGCAAACTTTTTAGCTCGGGGGCCACATTGATTTCTAAATTTGACAGGTGGGCCGGGTCAGCACAAGATATGGTATGTATAAAAAAACGTTTATGTTTACAGTCCATACCAAACATCAACAGAACAAAAGCATTCAAGTATTACCATACTTTTTTTTCATGAGAACAGTGACATAACTATGGTATATGTCCCGTATGAACGTCCAAGTACGGTATGTTAACAACATACATTGGTGACAACACAAGCAACAAAGTGCAACAATATATTGCCCAAAAACTGCGGCATACAGTACAGGTACAGTACATGAGAAAATATAACAAAGGTAGGACTATTTGCTCCAAAATGATACGAGTAAAAGACCTGGTGGCTTTCTTTCCACTCACTCACTGTCTCGAACTCGACCTCCCCTCGATCACCACACAGCGTTGCTCAGCTGATGTCGTGCTTCGAACTTTTCAAGCCAGCCACAGGATGCTTCGAAGTCTTCAATGCCCATAGTTAGCGTTATGGAACTCGCTTTCTCTCTTATTAGCGGTCCAGTTTGCGTCAAGTTTTTAGCACGATAGCAGTCATGCCATTTCAGGAAACGTTCATTGCTCCTTAATGTTTCGTACTTCGTAACCTACTTTGTTTAATGAGATACACTTCATTTTCTCTTCCGCGGCCATTACCGCTCCTCTTTGTTCGGATGCCATACTCTAATATAGGATGTTCGCAATTCCAGTAAAACTCACTGCAACAAAGAGTCGCTTGCATGTCGCCGTTTTGGATCCAATGACAGAAAATAGCGGTGCGGATACATGTATTTCGTCGTATCGAGCGGGACTTACTTGAGTTAGTGCTACTGCGGGCTTCCGTATCATCTCCCCCTCCCTCCCTGTGCTCTGCGACTTCAAGTAACTGCGCCACCTGGCGTTTAAATGCCTGTATTACAAGTCCAAATGAAATGAATGCAATAATTTACATCGAACCTTAATTGTGTACTGTACCAACCATCGGCGGGCCGGATTAAAAAGACCAACGGGCCGGATCCGGCCCGCGGGCCGTAGTTTGCCCATATCTGCACGAGACGAAGCACATCACAGTTAAGTGGCTCGTAAATTAGCCCCTGTAATTGTTTTCTCAGCAGGGGTCTTCAGAGGATTCATAACTCAGATCTGCACAACTCCTTCTTTGTCCGGTTTTAAAGAGCAGCCTTGAAAATGGTGAAATGTTCGTCGGCCTTCAGTTGTTTTAGCACAGCTGGAGCCAGGATTTTTCATGATACCTGACAGCTGATTTAATGCCACCGTAGGTCTGAATGCGAGGGTCGAATTTCACACATAGCAGCTCACCTACAGCGCCACGTGTACTGTACCTCCAAAACTGCCTTTCTTTTGATTTTTTTTTTCTGGCCAATTCCCATTAAGACAGCTGTTTTTGTTCCGGGATCTTGAGTCATCTGCTTATAATACTGTTTTATCCAAAAAAACAAAAAAAAACAGGACAAACGATGGATCAGTGGAACGTCTACAGGTGCTGGTTGCCCTCTAGTGGTAATTAGTGTCGAAACGTCAGAATTTACCAGATTTTTATTTTTTTTTTTGCAATGCTGAAACAGTAAGGGCAGTATTGCCAGCAACCATGCCTCTCAACTCAATCTATATTGATTACTGTATCACACAAATAATTGCACAGAGCCATCCCTGATTCGGTGTGCAGATGTACATCCTGTGCATAATACAAGTTACTATTCGTGATACTATTCATTCCAAATTGATATTTTTCATAAATCTAAGATATTCTATTTATTGTTCTTAATTTTATTTATTTATTCTATTCTAATTATTCTTATTTATTTTATTGCTAACAATTGATATTTTTTGAGAATTCAGTCAATTGCATTTTAAGAGGATAATGTGAAGTATTATTTTCGAATATCCTAATATCAGTGGCATTACAAAGCATCAATGATACTATCATTTATTGTGATATGTATTCAATATATTCCCCCCCCCCCAAAATTTCTTGTGACAGGTCCATCTAACAGAAACTTGGCCGACAATTTGCTTTATGATCACTCCCTGAAGTTTAAATTGCTGCAAAAATTAAGGATAATTTTACATTTGAAGCTAATAGGGAGTTAAATAATCAATCACGATATGATATGATGTGATGGATTCAAAAGCCTGAATGCCAAAACTGACAGTTGGCTCCCTCTGGCAGGGCTCACTGACAGACTATCTGAAGGCCAATGTGGTGTCCTGGAATGAGCTGTGCCACATCACTCAGACGGCTGCCCGAGGTCTGGCCTACCTCCACGAAGATATCCCGGGACATAAAGACGGACACAAGCCCTCCATTGCTCACAGGTTCTCCAGCCAGACCTCTGAATCAGTGTCGCATTTCTTCTTTCCATACTCAGTTGGCAATTGAAATTCAGAAAATGACAAATTGATTGATTATTTTGTGGGTTTTGAATGGGGACGCGGAAGACACAGATGAAAGGTGACATGTTGACTTGTGGAAAATCACTTTTTATAACACTGTGACTTCCATTCTTCTTTCAGCCGTGCAGTGGCAACGCAGGCACTTTGTGTTTATGTCTCAGTCACCCAGGTTGCCTAAACGCAACCAGTTAAATATTAATTCCCATTTTTAAGTCTTTTTAATCATTTCATTCACTTTTTTAATTATATTAAAAACCAAATAAAATAATCACTTTTTTTATTACAATTGAAAATGAAAAGAAGATTGGAGAGACGTGGTTGTTTGGTGCTTCCTGTCATCCTAAACCTCCGTGGTTCTGTTTCAGGGACATCAAGAGCAAGAACGTGCTTCTGAAGAACAACCTTACAGCTTGCATCGCTGACTTTGGTCTTGCGCTTAAATTCGAAGCTGGAAAATCAGCAGGAGACACACACGGCCAAGTATGCTCAGAGACCTGCCTTGTGTAGACTGTCCGTGTTTTTAGTTATGTGTTGTGTTTATTATTTTACTTTGTTAACTGTTTTGTTCAGCGCTTTGTTACAGCTGCCGCTGTTGTGAAAGCGCTATATAAATCAGCATGTATTGTATTGTATTGTGCTGTCTGTAATGTGCTTTTGACCTTCTAAATGTGTTTCCTTTGGACATAAAGGTGGGAACGCGGCGTTACATGGCTCCAGAGGTCCTTGAGGGAGCCATTAACTTCCAGCGTGACTCCTTTCTGCGCATTGACATGTACGCCTTCGGTCTTGTCCTGTGGGAACTGTCTTCACGATGCACTGCTTCAGATGGTGAGCCGCTTTGCTGATTGGCCGTTGCTGGATCATGTGACAATATCGTAATGACAACGTTAATCAGGGAATTGTGTGCCACCAGGCCCAGTAGACGAGTACATGCTGCCCTTTGAGGAAGAGGTGGGTCAACATCCGTCTCTGGAGGACATGCAGGAGGTGGTTGTGCATAAGAAGTTGCGCCCCTGCCTTCGAGACTGCTGGCAGAAACACACGGTGCGCCCTGTTTTTTTTCCCCTCTCCCCTTTAAATTGTAGCTCTATTTTCAAAATGCACTGCTCATGCAAATCTTGAGATATTGAGCTTTTGCCTGAAATTTCAGGATGAATCAAAAATGCGCTATTACCTTTACAGGTGGCCTGAATTTGGCCATCTCTAGACTTGTAAATCCACATCCCACTGTTCAATGTTTTAATATTGTTTTCACTTGCTTTTTTCAAACAAGAAGTGTAACGGCAAAATTCAAGACAGATGTTTGATTCACAAAGAGATCGATGGAATTTACATTAATCTTCATCATCATGATCGCATTTTGACATCATAAAAGCCAGACGACACACACGTTCTTTCACAGCTTCATACAGTTTAGCAAGCTCAAAGCACTTAAAACCTGTCCTCATTCAACTGTCGATGAAGCGGCATCGGGAGCAACTCAGGGTTCCGGATCTTGCTCAAGGATGTCGTGACATTGTCACAGAGGCTCAGGAGCAAACTTGCAACCTTTTGGGTTGGGTGATTCTCCCACTTGAGTTGTGCCAGCCCATCTAACAATTGATGAATTGATGAATCTCCATCAAAAAGGATGATGTCAATAATCAAGTCTACTGGAGATAAAAGCTGGTATAAGCTTCTGCTGCTCTGATTGGACGTCCTAGGAAATGTTTTGATTGATTCATGGATCTTTTTTTTTTTTAACCTTCTGCTCCATGTTGCAGAACAGCAAGTTGTCCAAAAAGTACCACAACACTGAACAGTTGGTCATGTGCATAGAAATGTTTGCGTGTGGTCAAATTAATTTCAGCTCTAAAGATTAAAGATGAATGTCCATCACTTGTGAATAGAATAATTGTTTCTCGCTGCAATAATTGTGTTGATCTTCTGGCATCCCTCAGGGTCTAGCCATGCTCTGTGAAACGATTGAAGACTGCTGGGACCACGAGGCCGAGGCCCGACTCTCTGCTGGCTGTGTAGAGGAGCGCATTGGCCAAATGCAGCGACAGGCTCCAATTATCGGTCCTGAGGAGATCGTCACCGTCGTCACTATGGTGACCAACGTGGACCTCCCACCTAAGGAGTCCAGCTTATGATCAGCCAACGCGCTACCAGACGAGCATCAGATGTGGGGCACGAGCAGCTGACCCTGGTTGGTTGGTTGCGTTAGCTTTTGTCATTCTGGTTTGGTCGTCGTTTTTGTTGTTGGGTTTAGTTTTTGTAAAGTACCGGCCGCTACTCGCGCTCAGGACATACCATGCGCCCACCTCACCACATCAAATGATCTCCACCTCATGTCGACGTGTGTGCCTGAGGATTTGAACAGCTGGAACCATATAGGCTAATTATGACGGAGCAAACGAGTGACGGTGCAGAAACGGCGAGACTCGACAAACAGCTGGATCACGGTTTTATATACACGACACGTCAGAGGGTCAACTGGATCTTCAACAGTGAGAAAAGACCTTTGCAGAATTTCACCAAACTCTCAATACATTAAAAAAAAAGAAAAAAACAATATGGGCATGTGGCTCTTGATACCGTTGCTGTTTTCTTGTGCGTGTATTTTTTTGGTTGTTTGTTTGTTTTTGAAGTATCGACTAACATTCTGCCAATAAGCAACGGCTTTTGAATGTTTATAGTGTAATGCTGCTGTACATAATGTATTATGAACCCAGTCGACTTGTTAATCCATTTTATCTTATTTTAAGGGGATAGGGTGGGAATGGGCCGGGCGATCCATTTTTCAAGCATTACGATGATAAAAACCATAGACCTCCTTCAACCAGGTATACCTCAGTTCAGATGGACACACATGATTAGTCCCTCTCACTGTTCATAGTTACTGCTCACTCATCACTTTTCACAAGCTTCATTGCATCGAAACGATATAACCCTTGTTGGTGCTCATGGGTAATGTAGTTAGCAGACTATCAGTAGACATGGCCGCACATCAGCGAGTGTTCCCGCTTCTTTGCTTGTCAATTGAATACCTTGCCCTTTGTTTAGCCATGATTATTTTTTTTCTTGCAGTTGATTAGTTAGCATTGCTCCAGCAAAAGGAAGCGGTCAAAATCTTAGAGCCCCGTCAAGTTTCCCCCCCCCCCCCCCCTTTCATTTGGAAAATTGTTAGTGTTGTCTGAATTATTATTGTTTTTAATAGCCTGAATGCCACAGTAATTCAGCCCTTGTTTGTCTTCGAGGTTTCAGATTTCAAGTGTGATTTTGAGGAAGGTTCCAAAGGTACCAGCCCTGTTTTGGAAATGTATTCAGCAGAGCCAGCTCAATTCTTTGTTTGATTGCACACATCTCATTTGACTACTGTTAAGGGTTTTCGCTCTCTGTTTATACGCCTCAGGAATCTTTGCTAGCCATCCTCGTCACTCTCGCGATTCTCAGAACAGCGTTTGTCAGGTCGTGACTTCTTGTGCTTCTTCTCACTTCATCTCGACACTAATGCTGGACAGTAAAGTCACAAGACTGCCGTTCTTTGTTCAATTCAGGTTACGGTGTGAGCTCGCTGACCGAGGCGTTGTACCAGGTCTCGCTTCCGCACTGGTTGTGACTTTTAACGCTGCGCCTTTCATAATCAAATCAAGTCACCACAGTAGTAACAATCCAGGTTGGGTTCCCACCAAACTAAACTGCCAGTCATATACTGTTTCCAAGCCAAACACGTCAAGTATGTGCCGCCATCAAACGAGAGTTAGACGGGGGAGCGCATCTTTCATCCTGGTGCCATTTCTTCCACCATACAGTCGTTACTCTTGTAGATGTCAGGCCAAACGGATGTATCTGTCGCTGTTGTAGAGGCAACAGCGGGGTTTTGTTTTCCTCCAGCTTTTTATTTGCTCTAATGGACATCAAACACCGGTGCCGGTAAAACTGCAGTCTCTCCTCGAGCTTTGGGTTTGTTCCACATGATGCGGTTTTAAATCAGCAGATGAGTTGGGGAAATGTGTGAATGCAGACATTGTTTGGCGTTCTAAAAGTGAGCGGAGCTGTGGACTGTTGTCTGTTTTTCCGTCGTAATTCAGAACTGCTGTTAAAGTCAAGCAGACCCCAAGCTTGGAATAAAACATGATTTCAGCAGCACTTGTAGATCTGAAGGAAGTCAAAGCCATCAATGTACTTTGTTACCGCAGTATGATCTTTGCATCAGTGCAACATCTTTCTTTCTCTTATTCTGCTGTTGCTGCCCCTTGATTGGCTCCTTGTTTATTGCCCTCTCAAAGCTTGGCACTACCTCACTCACAGGGATTTCAGGTTGCGGGAAGTGTGGCAAGTAAACCAAATTGAAAACTCTCCTGTCATCAAGCCTTTGCAATTTCAAATCGCTCCAGCTACTCAAATTCCCATTAGACAAGACAATGATCTGCAATCTGTAGTTAAACCCACATCTTGTCAACAGCGTCTGCCTGTTCAGTGACTTCAAACTGCATCAGTGAAACAGTCCCAAAACGCCATTCAGGGATTCAGTACTACTATGCTTTTCTATGTTCTGGCAAGTTATATGCAACCAGTGCCGCAAACCACTCAACACTTGAGCAGCAAGAGTGACTTTCAGTACACACACAAATAATTTGTAGTAGCATTTAATTTTGATTTTAATCCTTGCATATTGATGTGTGGTATTTATTTTTTACTCAAAGACCTGAAGTTATGGGGCTCGAAACTCAGCTGCAACTCAAACCACTAAGAGTTGGCACGAGTTCAGCTTGTCATTTTGGGGGAAATGGGTTGGGGTATCCTTACTTGTAATTCAGGAAGGACTTCAGTTCATTCTTTAAGAAAAGATGCAAACTGCTCCTGACTCTTTCATCTCTGTACAAAGACCGCAAATGAATGTTGTTGAGACTCCTGGACTCTGGTTTGGTGTACTTTGACAGATCAGGCGTGGCCCGTGTATCTAAGTCGGGCTCCGCTTTCAGCTGACCATCCTGTGATTGTGCTGTTTTGGTAGAAAACAGTCCAACTGTTACAGGTTCATTCATACGCCTCCTGACGAAACCAAAAATCAGCAGGTGGCTCATTCGTTCAAACCACAGAAAGAAGCACTTCAGTTGTCTTTATGGAAGCACTTAATGCGTTTCCAAATGAGGTCATGGGAGACAATCTTGGAAAATCGGCTTGACTAGTGGCTCCGCTGTGGTCTCAGTGTTAGGAATATTTAAAGGTGTATGAATGGATTTTCCCAGCGAGAAGCTTTACCCTTTCGATCCTGACTTCCTCCAGGCCAGCAGCATTGCTGTGCTTCTGAATACCAGTGAATCATTTGTGTCTTGTTGCCCTTCTATTTGAAATAGCCGAGGACCTGTACAGACATGCGAACGTATTAAATCAAGTATATACTATGAGCTGAATCTTTATAAGTGTGTGTGTGAAAAATCTGTGTTTCCTATACAGAACATTCATTTGTACTTTTTGTGTTTTGGTTTCAACTGTCCACCACAATTGAGCTTTGTGTAAGCTAGAGGCTCATTGGAGTATTTTGCAGATTTTCCCCAGAAAGCACTTAAAGTGGTGTTGCTCAGGGAACCCGAGCAGTTCCCCTGACATTTGCAATACTCTCGATGTGATCATGAAATCATTTGCTCCTGGTGTTCCATTCCACCGCCTCAACTTCCTTCTTGTCCCTGCTGTTAAGAATTCAAGAGGAAGCGTTGATCTCCAATGACCTCATTACCAAGACTGTGATCGTTTGGTTGCAAGGTCAGAAGTTTCTTAAAAAAAAAAAAGGAAAACAAAAAGAAAAAAACACTACAAGTTTCTGACCCCAGTATTCTTGAGGTTCTCTAAAATGCAGCGCTGATCAAAGACATACAGCTTCTCATGGGGAGAACACAGAAGGAAGGTTTTCCTTTTGGGTCACTGGTCTTCGTAGATAGATACACGATGGAATATGTGTGTATTTTCATGTCGGTGACAAAAGAGATGAAAGCCATCAGCAACTCTGGACTCATCCCGGAAAAGACGAACCTGATCTGTGATCAGCGCTGTAACTGGTGTTAGCCGGTGGAGGTTTTTAATCCGTTTAAGTGATCCACGTGATGTAAATAAATGTTTCTAGATTGTGAGAATTGACATTTGGCTTTTCTTTCCCTACATGCACACACACGTTTAAGTTTTGTGACACTTCACATCTCTTTTTGCAGAGCCAAAAATACAGATTCGGTATGCGACAACCAAATACACAAGGTACACTGACACAACCTGAGGTGTTTTGTTTAAAAAAAATAAAAATAATTAAAAAAAAAAAAGTTTAAGAATTACACTTACAGACGCTCCCCAGCTAACGAACGAGATACGTTCCGAAGGATCGTTCGTTGGCTGAATTCGTACGTAAGTTGCTTCAGTGCTGTATTTTGTATGGAATGCATGTTTAACGCTTATATAAATATGTTTAAGGTTTATGTAAGTATAATAAAATGAAGTTTAACTTACTTTTGGAAGATGTACTCGAAGGCTTCAGGAGATGATGGAGGGGGAGAGAGTTCCGTCTCGAACTTCTTCATGGGGACAGGCGTTTCCTCCTCCTCCTCCTCCTCTCACAGCGCCTCACGTCGGTATTAGCGGTGGAAAGAAGTACGACAGTACTCGGAAAAAGGCGCGCAATACAAAATCTAACTGACAGCATCTCTGTCCGAGAACATTTTTCGACATACCCGTACCTGCAAAAATGTTGTATGTACCGTTGTTCGCAACACGAAAGTTCGTAAAGCGGGGAGCGCCTGTACTTGTAAAAGTCTGTTGCTGCATTTTGGCATGGATTATTTAACCAGTGTGGGTGAGAGTCATTCAGCAATGACCCTTACATTAAAACCTCAGATTGTCATCAAAAGATTAGCTTTATTATTTGAGAAAGACAACAGTACAACGATAAAATGACACATTCTCTCTCACATGGTGAGGATTTGAACCCTAACCGAAGGCAGACATGCCCCACTGTTTGATATCTGTGGGGCATTGCGGATACTTGTGCAGGGCCTCTATGATCTGACTGCTGTCCAGCGCCAGGTTCATCAACTGGTATTCACGCTGCGTTTTGGCGGAAGAGCCGTCAACAGGTCGGATCAACTCCAGCTGCTGCAGATGCTCAAAGGCCTGTGGGAAGCAAAAAAGCCGTTGGTGACAATGCCTGCGGGTTAAAGGAGCTCGAGTGTTTGCAGCCACCTTCATGACAACAGGCTGTTCAAAGTTGTACACGGAACTGGACTTTCTCTGGAGGAACTTCTTAAATTCTGAAAATCAAAACGGGTCAAAAAAGAAGAAGCAAACTGATCATGTCCGTTGGCATGCTAATCGCCCGTACCGTTGTGAACCATCTGGAAGTTGAATGGCTCTCCTTCGTAGACATCATTGAGGTGCTTCATGGCGATGACCAGGCACAGCTCGAGGATCGACAGACCTGAAGGAAAGCAGGATATGCAGCAGCCGATGTGAACTGAAGGGTCCAACCGTCCAACCCCATGCGTGAATGATGCCGTTCTGTCATGTTTTATTTACCATGAAGCATATTGGACTTTGCATCGCTGAAACACAGTCTGCTGGCTTCCAGTATGTCGGCAGGCTTGATGGTTGGATTTACGGTAGAGATGCGACTTAAACACAACATCTGGAAGGGAAAATAAAAATCGGGTTCAACTTTGTGACATACCTCATAGAGTCAATATTCACTCATTCATTTTGGAGAAACAAATGGCAAAGGTTTTCTAGCTTGAGTGATGATTCCCTCACCAGCAGCATGTGCAAAGAGCAGAAGTCTTTACTGGAGTTAAAATGCCTCTGTAAAATCCCCTCCACTGATTTGTCTTCACAAAATCTCTGGTGATAAAATATGAGAACAAACAGTTATAAGACTCTAGTGCTGTTTGACGGCGCCAACGTTTGTTTGCCTTACCCGCATGCTGCTGTTCCAGTCAAGCGCGAATTCCCTGTCGGGGAAGTCGTCGGGCAGGCTGAGCTGGGATGCAACTTGCTCCAGGTATTGAGTGAAGCTCAGAGTGCTCAGCAGGTGGATCTGACGATGGGAAAACCGCGATTTCACCCGCTTCTCCAGCAACTCCAGGACATCCTGGCAATCAGTGCAAAAACCGACACTGATTTTACATTCCCTGGGAACCTAAATGGCATTGATTTAATGGAATGACTCATGAACACCCCCATTTTTAGATCAACTTTGCCAGATTTCTAAATCAGAAACAATAAAGACACAATCGAGTTCAAACAATGATGTGAACTTGACAGGAGGATAACTGACCAGCCTGCAGGTGAGCCCGACCACAGCAACCGGCGCCTGGGCTGACTGAGACACATCCAACAAGTTGTAAAGCAGAGTTTGGTTCTTGTGGTGAGCGAACAGGTCAAACTCATCCAGGACGAACAAGACTGGTCGCGTGGTGCTGCGGTCGCCTAAGCACAAACTCGTGTCAAACCAACAAAGGGGAAAACAATGCCACAGATTTATCTGCGAGTTGTGATCCGACCTTTCTTCAGCGCCTCCAGCAAGAAGACCAAGTTCTCTGCAAAGCTCCCCTGAAACCAATCACATTCACGTCACCATCCATGCAGCACACAGTGGAACCACGGAGCATTTCAGAATGTCCTCAAACAAGAGCCACCAATTTCTCAAGGGAAAGACTGGGAAGCAAACCTCCATCATCGGGTGTGTGAAAGGTATTTTCTCAAATTCCCACAATGATCATGTTAAATATATCTGGATTTCAACTTTTTTTTTTTTACCCTCACGCAACGTTTTTTTTAAACTGACAATTATACATTCAAATCACGGTGGTAGAGAAGATGACATCTTTTGCCACCGTGATATTTGTGCGGTGACTTGGCATCAAGCAGCAGAGGGCGGAAGTAATTATTGCCCGTATATAGTACGTCTACAGTTACAAAATAAAGTTATAATATAGTTTCTTCCTGGAATAAAGTCAGTAGCCAGCAAAAGTGAAAGAATTGAACATTTTCAATTAGTGGTATGCTTACTTTTGTTGCCTAGTGGCTCAGACATTAATAGCTGTGTTGAGTTATTTTAAGCCAATTAAGTTTACAGTTGAACCAGCTCTACAATGACGACTTCACATTGTAGCAAAGTGTCATTTGCCCCGTGAAAAGATACCGTATAAAAAATATTAACAGTAATGCGGGTGGTGTATTCACTTTTGTTGCGAAATTGTAAATATGTGTGTGATGGTTGTAGCATTCTCACATTAAAACAAAAAACCTCAACAGAAAGTAGTCTTGAGTAAGTAAATAATCTCAAAAGAATATTACATTGTTAAATTGTATTCACTTTTTCACTGAATTGAGCTAACACTCACAAACACTTTGTCGCCAACAACATTTTCCAGGTTGAGTTGACGTGTTATTTCTTTTAGGGCTATTCGGTCATCAGTCTGCAAGAGGCCTGCGCAAAAAGACAAAAGATGTGTTGAACTTGGCCTGGAGCAAGGAAGAGTGAACCGCTGACCCACCGTTGAGATGGACCTGCAGGAGGTTTTTCTGCACTTCCTTTTCCTGCAGCAGATCTCTTAACACACACTTGAGGAGCTGCATACAAAAAGCACACGACCAGTGCCTGGGACTGCACCACACTGAGATGAAAGAAGCGCGTGAGCAGTTCCAATGTGATCTCACCGCAGTTTTCCCTGATCCCCTGGGTCCGATGATGAGCACAGAGTTACTTTCCCCATTGTTGGCAGTTCGCTGGAGCAAGCCCAGTAAGTGCCTGAAATGAAAACATGAATTTAGGGAGATGCGACAAACAACACTCCAGAGAGAGAGCAAGTTGAAATGTACTTGTGTTGGGCCTCTGATGCCTCAAGCTGGCTGGGGATCCGATTGTGGCAAAGTCGCTCCCTCAGACACTTCTGAAGCTGATATTGCAAACACACATTGAGGAGTGTCAGTCACTCTTGTTATAAATGAGGAAATTACTCGAAAGAAAGTCAGCAGACCTGTGAGATACATTCTCCGATTGGCTTCGAAGCACCTTTGGCCTTTCGTTTACTCATGATCACACGACTCTGGAAAGACTGTTTCAAGGGAATAATTATTTAATAGAGAAGAGAAAAGGCGTGCATTTTGAGGATGAGAACGACAACCTGGAAAACTTGCATGCAATGAGACAGTTCAAATACACCCTGACAGACACGCATGATGAACGTCCACTTCTTCACAGAGCAGGGAAAATAAATATTCAAGTACACATATCTTTAACATCTAACACAGTGACCAAGTATTTGGTTACTTCCCACCATTTTTCGTTGTTCAGTTGCAATTAATTGCGATTTGATCACAGAATGTCAAGCAAAACCACTTTGTCTCGAGAAGTGAAACAGGTAGATCGTCGATTATACATTATTTGCTTTGACGATTAACCGACATGCATTGACAGATGTGTTATTACGCCAGTTCAAAATTATGAACAAGCTTATCGTGGCACCTTTTTGCAAACGTGTTTTGGGCTCACTCGCAACCATGTTTATCCGAACTAAATTAACTCACACGACGTTGATATATTCTCGTTGTTTTACCTAAAATCACTTGACAAATCCTGAATCCAAAACATACCCAAATACAGTGACTCTCTCTCGCAAAATCAAAAAACAAACCTTCGCGGGATAAGGCACGTCCATGTACTTCCGGCTTTTTACTGCAGTTCCGCTGTGGTCGTCGCTGATTGGCTACGAATCATCGCCTCTGACATCTTCCCGCCCACTTAAACATGTAATAACACATAAATCAAAATTGTACCATACGCGCTTTAAAAAAAAATCTTATATACGATCAGTATTTGCCAGGATTATCACAAGATAATGGTGAATTTTGTTCTTTTGGCACGTTTCATGAGGACCACATGTAGTTTCCCTAAATGTCCACACGAGAGGGCTGTGAGTAAACGCTTTCGATTAAAATGGAGGAAGAAACCAACAGCACTTGTGGTTCTCCATAATGTCCACACGATGGTATAAATTAACCTTACTAGAATCGGGGTCGCCAACCTTTTTGAAACTTGAGTGCTCCTTCCTGGGTACCGATTAATGTGCAGGAGCATTCCCAGTTTAATTGCCACA